TAACAGTTTCTTCACTGCTCATACCACGTTCAGTGTCACTATCAGAAACATGGAGAAAATATTAGAACCTACAAAACACAAGGTTCAAAGAAGCCACTGTGCTTAACAAATGTGATTGTTGTTTTTGTTTGTGTGGAGTGCAGTGGCACAATCTTGGCTCACCACAACCTCCATTTCCTGGGTTCAAGCGATTCTCCTGTCTCAGCCTCCCAAGTAGCTGGGATTACATGTGCCTGCCACCACATCCACCTAATTTTTGTATTTTTAGTAGAGATGGGGTTTTACCACGTTGGCCAGGCTGGTCTCCAACTCCCTACCTCAGGTGATCCTCCCACCTAGGCCTCCCAACCACTAGGATTACAGGCATGAGACACCGCACCTGACCTGCAAGCATCTTATAATGCTGGCATGGTGCAGGTCTCAAAAGAGTCATGACCACATTTGTCTCACCATATTGTTTATATAAATATATTATTAAATTGGCATTTAATCAGGGACTATATTTCTATTATCTAGTAAAATAATATACTTTTCAAAGAACTTTGAATCAGATGAAATTCTCTTTAGAATGTCATAGTAATCTCAGGTGGCATGGGGTAAATAACAAAAGGCCAGTCTGTCTTAAATATTTACCAAATGTTTACTGTGTGACCAAAACTAAAAAGGCAGTCAAAATTAACATTTTAAGTAAAATGCCAAACTAAGCTGAAGTACTGACAGAATTAATGGTAAATTTACCTCTAACAGAACTAGTTAAAGATTGGACACGGATGATATTTTGTCCCAATATTACTATCACATGTACTTTTCCATCCAATTAGTTCAATGAGGTCACCAAACAAGATTTTAGACAAATGCTTCATGACTCACTCTCCTGAACTCTGCCCTATCCCCTTGAAAAGGACCAATCATGTTAAAGCCTTCTGTTAATTTTTTCCTTTTCAGAGCTTAATAAATAAAAATAATTCTTTGAAAGAGTCACTCTATTTTCAGGTAGAACATAAATGATGTAAAAAACAAGTTGGGCAACAACATTCAACGTGGCATTATTGATTTTGGCAGTTAGCACGAGTATTTCCAAATGCTATTTATTCTTCATCTATCTCATATCTAAATTTTGAACTTGTTCTCCGCATTTTTACATTGTTTAATGAACCAGCTCTTTATTTCACAATTGGCATTTATCCTGTCTTTCCTATACAAACTATACCCTGTAGGTAACCAAAGAGTATACGAGGGACATTTTTCTTTAAAGTAATCTAGCTAATAAATGAAAAAGCAACGTAGACCTTGAATATCACAGCTTTTCAGCTCTAATGAATCACTGGATGCAGTACTGAGCATGCCTAGACATCATAGAAAAAGTGGATAATCAGACATTTTGTGCTTCCTGGTAGAAAAGCACATCACACATGTATGAAGTATTTTTGCCAAAAAAAAAAAAATCTAACCTGAATCTGATCAAGCCTCTGCCAGTTACCAATGTGCAAACATACAGAATGCAGAGCACTTGTTAAACTATGGCATTCCCATTGCAGGGATGCCATCAACAAAATCTAGGCTGTTGGAAATTCTACAATACGAACAAATTATAAGAAAAGAGATGAACAGATGTAGATATTAAAGGAGATTTAAAAGACACATCAGGCCAATTGCAATGTTAAAAAGAAAGACATAAACCTAATTGGACAGTTGTACACTTATTTTATATTTGTTTTGATGTGGAATCTTGCTCTGTCATCCGGTCTGGAGTGCAATGGCGCCATCTTGACTGACTGCAACCTCCACCTCCTGGGTTCAAGCGATTCTCCTGCCTCAGCCTCCCAAATAGCTGGGATTACAGGCACCTGCCATTACGCCTGTCTACATTTTGTATTTTTAGTAGAGATGGGGTTTCCCCATGTTAGACAGGCTGGTCTCAAACTCCTGATCTCAGGTGATCTGCCTGACTCAGCCTCCCAAAGTGCTGGGATTATAGGTGTGGGCCACTGCACCCAGCCTACACTTATTGTCTCTAAAGACATTAAGAAATCTGATTTTTATGGTATTATCATTGTATTATGATTGTGTTTTTTAAAAAACCCTTATCTTTAGAGATACATAAGAAATTATTTATTATTATTGTATCTGTGGTTCGCTTCAAAGTAATAGATGGAGGGAAAATAGGTAGGATATAGATAAAGCAATATGGGTCATGAGTTGGTAATTTTAAGATGGATGATGAATGCATTGGGATTCATTATTATTCTGTCTTCTTTTGTATATGTTTGAAATTTTTTATAATTAAGAAAAATAAATAAAATCACTAGAAGGCTCACACCTTATCTGCTTTTTTACCAGTGACATACACCTGTATTTTTGCCCCTTTGGCAAATGAGGCAGAAGGATGTCCCTTTCACTGTAACTGCGAAATTTACCTACAGATCTCTGAAGGCTGGCCTTAAGCCACTATGACAACCTTAATAAGTATAACATTTTGCTTCAACCCCACCCTCCTACCAATGCTGTGAAGCTCTCCTAGGGTCATGGTGGACCCGTGTCATACAAGTGATGGACCCTCAATAAGCAAGTAAATGACCTGAAGAAAGTGAGTTTCTCTGACAAGTCTACAAAGATTCTTAAAGATAGGATTATTTAAAACAGCATGGTGTCCTGGAAAGAATCCAACAGTCCTCAGGTTGAATCCTGGTTCTCCTACTTTCCAACTGCTTAACCATGTGACCCTGTGTACATTACTGAACCTCTCTGAGCCTCAGGTTCCTCACCTGTACAGGGCCTAGTCACAGGACTGTTGTGAGTATTAAATGACCTACTATTGTAAGTTACCCAGCATAATTTTGGGCTTCTATTGGATACCCAATAGCTACCTGTATATATCACATTTGAGCTTACAGAATGATGAAGTTATAAGCTAAGGCTGCCTGCTACGACTTCTGCACTAATTATAGAATGGTTTTAGTCAAAGCTTGTTCAATTCACGACCCATGGGCTGCATGCAGCCCAGGATGGCTTTGAATGTGACCCAACACAAATTCATAAACTTCCTTAAAACATTATGGAATTGTTTTGTGATTTTTTTTTTAGCTTATCAGCTATCATTAGTGTTAGTATATTTTATATATAGCCCAAGACCAATGTGGTCCAGGGAAGCCAAATGACTGGACACCCCTGCTTTAGTCTCTGTTTCCTAGACATTGAAGAAGTTGCTCAGGTTATAACTGCTCATAATTGAGACTTGTACTCTTGAGGATCACTGAGGCTCCTCATCTCCATTTCCTCTATAAGGTGAACTCCCCAATTTACTGGAAAGATAAAATGTTTACATCACTGAGACTGTTCTTATTTTGTATCCTCATTGAATACCAATTAGGACAAATAGAATAATGCATTAGCTATGTTTAAATAGGACTATATTTTCTAGCTATTTTTATTAGCCTCATGACTTTTTTTTTTTTTTTTTTTTGAGACAGAGTTTTGCTCTTGCTGTCCAGGCTGGAGTGCAATGGCGCAATCTTGGCTCACTGTGACCTCCACCTCCCAGGTTCAAGTGATTCTCCTGTCTCAACCTCCAGAGTAGCTGGGATTATAGTGCCCACCACCACACCTACCTAATTTTTTTCTATTTTTAGTAGAGGTGCGGTTTCACCATGTTGCCCAGGCTGGTCTCGAACTCCTGATTTCAGGTGAGTCACCTGCCTCAGCCTCCCAAAGTGCTGGGATTACAGGCGTGAGCCACTGCATCCGGCCATCTGATGACTTCTTAATACACTTAAATTCCTTGCTTTGGGGTGAAGTTGACAAAATTTTTGAGTTGATTATTTGTTGGCATATAGGGTTTTCATATTGAAGGCTGTTGTTCTTGATGACAATAGAAAGAAAATGCAAGGCCAATCAGTCTAAGGTGAAACAAAGTCAAGGGAGGAAACTATTAAATTTTGTACATCCATGTAAATTTTATCACCAACTACATTCACAATAACATCTTCCATAACTTAGGATAATAAAAATACTTTGTGGTAGCATGCACCTATAATCCTGGCTTCTCATGAGGCTGAGGCAGGAGGATCCCTTGAGCCCCCCCGACCTGGTCAACATAAGGTAATCCCATCATGGCCAGTCATGGTGGCTCTCGCCTGTAATCCCAGCACTTTGGGAGGCCAAAACAGGTGGACCCCTTGAGGTCAGGAGTTTGAGACCAGCTTGGCTAACATGGTGAAACCCCGTCTCTACTAAAATACAAAAATTAGCTGGCCATGGTGGCATGCACCTGTAATCCCAGCTATTTGGGAGGCTGACACAGGAGAATTGCTTGAACTCAGGAGGGAAAGGTTGTAGTGAGCTGAGACTGTGCCACTGCACTCTAGCCTGGGTAACACAGCAAGACTCCAGCTCAAAAAAAAAAAAAAAAAGAGATCTCATCTCAAAAAAACCCCAACTTTACATAATGTAGTAAAAAATCGTTTGCTACAGATCAGCTATTTCTGACCAAGTTTTAACTACAGGCAAGAAAATCATAGACTTCAAAATGATGAATTATGAGTTGCTAGTCTAGTCTCTGATTTATATTACTCTCATTCTAGCGGAAGAGGGTGTGATTTCGAGGGTCAATGTGCCTTCGTTTGGCCTTGCTCTTTACTCTTTATCTTACTATTTTTCATTTCTAAACTCATACAGGTGCAGAGCTTTCTTTACACAAAGCAGAGCCCATGGCCAAGGAAAGGATGTGATTTCCAGAGTCTGTTTCTACAACTGCCCTAAAAGTACAAATACTTTAAGAAATGTAGTCGATTGATTTCAAGTCACAATACATTATACGTGAGAATTTTTCTCAAGATAAAACAGAAAGATGCTAGGTATATCAAAAGAAGGGACAAAGCTTCAGAAGAGAACCACACTAAAAGGAGATTAAGCTCCCCCAAAACAAAGCTTACCTACTTCATAATTTTGATGAGGGCTGGCAGACTGGCCCTGGAGAGGCAGTAGAGACACAGAATACTCACCCGGGCTGAGTGAGATAGGAGGTCCAGGATCCAAATAGGAGTTCCAGGCTGTAGCATTGCCATTTATTAACTGGTCTTCTCTAACTCCTCTGAGACACACTTTTTTCACCTACAAAATCTAAGATACATGACAAAGGGAGAGAAAGAGAATCAGCTTGACCTCTAACTTTGGGTTTAAGATTCTTAGATTATGCTAATGATCACTTTATACAGCACCACATCCACGTAAGTACCAAACACACAATTAGTCTATGTTATTGGACAAACACTCAATATGGGCTTGAGTACAGCTAAAGAAACATAAGCAGATTCAAGCTTTTGGATAATCCATACAAGAGAACAATGACATTAAATACTATAAAATCATGTAAGTGATGGCATGTTAAATTTTTCACTGATAAATAAGTGAGAATTCATGTTATATCCAGTGAAGACCCTTTCACAGTTATATTTGGTTAAGGTACCTTTCCAGACCTGTGTTTATACAGGTAGAACCACTTCTTTATTTTTTTTTTTGAGATGGAATCTCACCCTGTCTCCTAGGCTGGAGTGCAATGGTGCGATCTCGGCTCACTGCAACCTCCACCTCCAGAGTTCAAACAATTCTCCTGCCTCAGCCTCCTTTTTTTTTTTTTTTTTTTTTGAGACAGAGTTTCGCTCTTGTTACCCAGGCTGGAGTGCAATGGCGCGATCTCGGCTCACCGCAACCTCCGCCTCCTGGGTTCAGGCAATTCTCCTGCCTCAGTCTCCTGAGTAGCTGGGATTACAGGCACGCACCACCATGACCAGCTAATTTTTTGTATTTTTAGGAGAGAAGGGGATTCACCATGTTGACCTGGATGGTCTCGATCTCTTGACCTTGTGATCCACCTGCCTTGGCCTCCCAAAGTGCTGGGATTACAGGCTTGAGCCACCGCGCCCGGCCCTGCCTCAGCCTCCTGATAGCTGGGATTACAGGGGCTTGCCACCATGCCCAGCTAATTTTTGTATTTTTAGTAGAGATGGGGTTTCACCATGAGGCTGGTCTCGAACTCCTCACCTTGTGATCCACCCGCCTTGGCCTCCCAAAGTGCTGGGATTACAGGCCTGAGCACCACTTCCTTTTTCTATTTAATAAAATTTTCGTGGGGAAAAGACCCTCTAGCATTTGCTGTCTCCTTTGTTCCTTTGTTGTAGTGATAGGGAAAGCCATAAAATAATATTTCAAGAAGCAGATAAGATATAGATGACTTTTTAGATCTCCTTCCGGCCTTATAGATTTACATGTGTTTTTACAGAATAAAGGTAAAATAATGATTATCAGGCTAAATGGTAATGTGGAAGTACAGGGATAATTCAAAGTTTAAGAATTGCTTCTCGGCTGGGCACAGAGGCTCATGCCTGTAATCCCAGCACTTTGAGAGGCCAAGGTGGGTGGATCACGAGGTCAAGAGATCGAGACCATCCTGGCCAACATGGTGAAACCCTGTCCCTGCTAAAAATACAAAAATTAGCTGGGCCTGGTGGCACACACCTATAATCCCAGCTACTTGGGAGGCTGAGGCAGGAGAATTGCTTGAACCTGGGAGGTGGAGGTTGCAGTGAGCTGAGATTGGGCCACTGCACTCCAGCCTGGTGACAGAGTGGGACTCCATCTCAAAAAAAAAAAAGAATTCCTTCACCATGTTTACCTGGTGTGCTTTGCAAGGTCTAGATGACATCAATGATACAATTCTTGCAAGCAACAGCAGCAGAGTCCTTGAAGGTCCATTGTCACTTAAAAATTTTTTTCTTCCCTTTATGTTGTTAGAAAAATAGACTGAAGATTTTTCTGAATGGATAACGGAATTAAGTTTCTCCAAATATGGTCCGTGGACTGCCTGTCTGCACCAGCATCATTTGTGGTGCTTGTTCAAAACCCATATTCCTTGGGAATGGAGGTCTCACCGCTTCAAGACCCACAGAGACCCCATTATGCTTTATGCAGGGTTACAGATGCCTCTAGAATGAAGTAGATACTCCTTTTGAATTTCCGTGATGTGAAACTGATAGCAAATATTAATCCAAAAGCAAAACTGAAAAAAAAATTCATATTCTTGGTCTGTACCTGAGATCATCTTGATGGATCTCAGGTATCCTTGTATTGTATTAAACCCTCTGATGCTGTTTATACACAATAATGTCTAAAAATCACTATCTAGATTAAGAATTCACATTCTATTGCATCAGATTAGAGAAACAATGAAATTCAGGTCCAGAGTTTTTATCATTCAATATCCAAAACACGTGGAAGTGACTTTTATATAGCTTTCAAAATGTAACACATGTAAAATAGACAATAAAAACAAGCTTTAAAAAGAATAAAATCAAAGGCTGGGTGCGGTGACTCATGCCTGCAATCCCAGAACTTTGGGAGGCTGAGGCAGGCAGATCACAAGGTCAGGAGTTTGAGACCAGACGGACTAACCCTATCTCTACTAAAAATACAAAAATTAGCCAGGCATGGTGGTGGGCACCTGTAATCCCAGGTACTCAGGAGGCTGAGGCAGGAGAATCTCTTGAACTTAGGAGGTGGAGGTTGCAGTGAGCCAAGATCTAGCCACTGCACTCCAGCCTCTGCGACAGACTAGAACTCCATCTCAAAAAAAAAACAAAAAACCAAGAAGAAGAAAATCATTCCATAATACTGTTATCCAAGGAAAAACAATAGTTGAGGACTATTTGTGTGAATTTCCTTCAAGTCTCTAAATATCGTAATATAGATCATCACTGGTTCTTAAAACTCCTAACAGCAGGGACTGTTTTTCTTCATCACTGTAATCCTAGCTCTTATCAAAATGCCTAGCACATAGTAGGTACTGAAATCTTTGCTGAGTGAACAAAGTGAGTAAGTGAAGCTGAAATCAAATTGTATCTTTGATTTGGGTCACACTTTTTATAAAAATATACCAGCATTAAATAGAATATCATTTTCTGACTCTCAAAATTGATAACAAATCAATACTAGTACTTCGGTACCAGATATTTTTCTAGCATTTTAGCGATATTAATTTAACCCTAACAGCCACATGTCACGTAAGTGCTATTTTATCCCAAATTTTTAGATCAGGACACTGGTGCACAGAGAGTTTAGGTAACCAACCCAATACCACACACCCAGTATGTGGCAGAGCTGTCTTCCAAGGCTTTATCAGACTAGGTTAATCTACATGTTCATGGTCATAAAGTCATCCACCTTTTATAAACAAACGTGCCTAACATTTACCACTTCAGCTGCAGGAACTTCTATATAACATAAAAAAAACTCTCCATTAGGAAACTAAATATTAGGTGATTGTATGACAGTTAAGATTGAGCCCTGGTACCTACGTTACTCTGCTACTGCACAAAACTGCAAGGGCGCCCGCACCACCCCAGGTGTGGGATGCGAAGTGCATGGGGCAGGTACCTCCGTGCACATCCATACATGCTGTTCTCAACCCCAGTAATCAGGTTTACCACATGAACCTCACAAGCTCACCTTTTTTTTTTTTTTTCTTTTTTCTTTTTTTTTAGACAGGGTCTCATTCTGTCTCCCAGGCTGGAGTGCAGAGGCACGATCTCAGCTCACTGCAGCCTCCACCTCCTGGGCTCAGGCGCTCCTTCCACCTCAGCTTCCCGAGTGGCTGGGATCACAGGCACGCACACCACCGCATGCGGCTAATTTTTTATATTTTTGATTTAAGAGATGGGGTTTTGCCATGTTGCCCAGGCTGGTCCCGAACTCCTGACCTCAAGTGATCAGCCCACCTCAGCCTCCCAAAATGCTGTGGATACAGAAGGCAGCCACCAACTCCCCAAGTTTAAGGGTGAAATGGAGGAAAGTTCATGTAATATTCAGGGAAGTCCAGTTCTTCCCACGTCTTTCACTTGGGCCACACACAAAAATTAAGTAACTGGAAGTGCACCGTTCTGTTCACAGTGCGGAGTGCGCGCTCACCGTCGGCGGCGTCCGCTGGAAGTCCCGGTCAGGCCGGGAGGGGGACAGAGCCTCCTGCCCAGGGCCGCTATCCGAACTGATCTGCTCCCCACCGCACCCACAGAGAAACCCACGCCACCCCCTGCACCTAAGAAACCCAGACGCCGCAAACCTGCACGAACAGAGCCATTTCCTCCTAATGTGTGCTTCCAACCCTCGAAGCCCAACTGGAAGCAGGGCAGCGTGCCTGTCCTGTACGCTACTCCTTCTCCCCGCGGCAGCGGCCACTGATGCGGGCAGCGGGTGGGTCCTCGTGGGGTTCCGCGAACGTTGAGCCGCCACGCGCAACCGGCGCCGGCTGGGCCTGCAAATCACCTCCCAGCCGCCAGGCGGCGCCGCGGCTGCGAGAGCGAGGCCAGTCGTCCGAGACGGGGCGCGCGGGGCCGCAGGGGAGGAGGGCGCCGCCTCGCTCGCCCTGCGCCCCTCCCCCGCGCGCCCTCCCGGCGCTGCGGCCCGCGAGGCCCCTGTGGGCGAGGGGGCGGGGACGAAACGGCCCCGAGGATCCGTGCGCTGCACGGCGGCGGCGCGAGCCCGAGGGGGCGGGGAGGCGCGGGCGGGCGTGCGCGTGCGGGGCGTGGGCGTGGGTGGGAGTAACCGGCGCGGGCGCCGCGACAGCGCGGGGCAGAGGAACCCGGCTACCCTGGACAGCGCATCGCCTCCCGCCCGGGTTGCCGCGCCGCAGCCGCTGCGGATCATGGTGAGTGGGACCGCGCGCCGCCACCGCCACCGCCGCGCTTTCTTTCTTCCCTGGACCCACGCACCGGGCGGGAAAGGGCCGAGCGGGTGGCTGCGCGGGCGCTGCGGGTTCGCCGCTGGAACACGCCACCCTCGGAGGGGCCGGGTCCGCGCGGGCCTGGGGAGCGGGAGCTGAGCGTTTGGGCCGGGGGCGCGCGGGTCGGCCCGAGGCCCGCTGGTCTCGGGAACTTTGTCCCGGTTCCCGCTCCCCGGTCCCGCCCCGGGACCTCGAGGTACCCGCTCGCGCTCAGCCCCCTGTTGCATGCACGGGGCTGGCGCCCGGGATGCCCGAGGAAGCCGCCCCGCCTTCGTGGCGGCCATTCCCGCCCGCAGCCCACCCTCCGGCCCCCGGAACCCGCTCTCGCCACCGCCCGCCGGCGCCTGGCGCGGAAAACGGCGTTTCCCGCGCGCGGCACCCACCCTGCCTCTGGAGTCCTGGGGTTCGGGCCCTAACGGTTAAGCTCCCGTCCCTCTCCTCCCTGCACCCCGGGGGTGTGTCTGTGCGCTCGTTCGTGCGTCCTGGGTTTACAGATTGGCTCGGGAGAGGGCTGGGTTTTATCAGTGTCTGGGCTTGGAGGGGCTTCTGGTGTGTTCTTTACGACCACTCCTCTCTCTCCCTGGTTTCCCAGGCCAGTCCTCCACTCTGGATTAGTACCGTTTCCTCTCGGCGTTAAGCTGTGTGTGTGGGGGGGGTGGGGGGGGTGAGTGTTCCCCCATGTCCGATGGACTGCCTGAGAGTTTTAGCAGCAGAGCCCGGTTCTTTGGCTACAAAGGGAGAACATCTGCTGTGCTGTCCTCAAAGGACCGGTCTTGAGGCAAAATGTGAAATCCGCGTTTGTCTTCAGGGGTCTATAGTCAATCTTTGCCTCTCCGCCTTCCCGTAGAGTTTCCTCTCCACTTCAGGGCTTATTAAAATATGTTAACCTCCTTTCTCTTACCCTCTCCATCGGATTTTGCCCTGTCTACCCTTTTAGGCACGTACTCTCTGCCTGGTTATGTGTGACCACTTAATCTGAAAATTCCAGCCTTTCCTACCCCGCCCACCACCGTGTATATTCCCCTTGCCTGCTTCATTTTGTCTTCTCTTGAGCCTGCATTTTTTAGTGTGCTGCATATTTTGTTTCTTTAGCTTGTTTCTTGAAAGTCTTCTCTACCAGAATGTAAGTTTCAGAAAGACAGATTTTTATCATTTGGTTCTTTACTGTCTTTCTAGTGCCTACAGCCGCGCAGTAAGTACTTGATAACTCGTTTGAATTAACCCAATAAAGCAAACTGCTTTATGCTAATACACAAGTGGAGAGCAACTGCAAACATTTTGCAGCTGACAGTTGTAATGATGAAAGTCTCAAGTGAAGTTTCGGAGGGAGGAGATACTCCCCGAGAGGAGGGACCCAATTTTGGCAGCATTCAATGACAAAAGTCTAGGTGGCTATCTCTTATGCCTGGTCTGTCGCTTCATGCTCTTGGCACCTTGGCATCAGAGTGGACAAGGCATTTTTAGGACCAATTGGCTTTCTCCTTTGGGCTCTGAAGCTTTGTCCCAATGTGTACGTAGGAATTGCAGTGAGTAAGGGAATAAGTTCACTTATTAGCTGAATAGAAAAGTCATGGGAATGTTTAACCTAAAAGAGCTAAAATCAAGGGCAAGCTCTTGAAAGCTTTATCCTGCACAAGTGTGATGCTTCCTGTTTCGCTAAATATTTCTCAGAAACTTCGGGTCTTCAGAAGAATTTTTTTTTAAATACCCAAATCCAAATTGTATTACTTTTTTTTTTTTTTTTTTTTTTTTTTTTTTTTTTTTTTTTGTGGCAGGGTCTCACTCTGTCTCCCAGGCTAGAGTGCAGTGGTGCAATCTAGGCTCATTGCAACCTCCGCCTCCTGGGCTCAAGTGATTCTCGTGCCTCAGCATCCCGAGTAGCTGGGATTACAGGTGTGCACCACCACACCAGGCCAATTTGTGTATTTTTGGTAGAGACAGGGTTTCACGTGTTGTCCAGGCTGGTCGAACTCCTGACCTCAAGTGATCAACACCCACCTTGGCTTCCCAAGTGCTGGGATTACAAGTCATGAGCCACTATGCCCAGCTGAAATCATACTACTTTATTAAAAAAAAAAATGGGCCAGGGAGGAGGAAGTTTAGGGGATTTAATTTATAAATTAATGGGTCAGTTCAAAAAGACACCCTTTTGAATACATGTTCAGTATGAACTGTATTGTAAGATATCTCTGCTAGTTAGTCTTATTCCAAAATAATTATTTTTTTCAAATTTCCTTTTGTTTTTCTATAATGTGGATTTATGGCAGTAGTTTTAAAAGAATTAGTCTAGGGAAATGTATTAATTGTAAATAAATTGTTTAATAAAATTTACATGAGTAAGTTTTTGAAAAAGACTTAATTAGAGCTGACTATACAAGTTCGGCGGTTCTGTGGTTACCATCTTTCCCAGACAAGTAGTAGAAATTAAATGTAAAAAGGAAAGACAGTTTGTCTTTGAAATTAATACCAATGAACTAACCAAAGGTAAATGAAAGATACTTTATTGCCTTCAGTTTAAATTTGTAGGATATTTTACTGTTAAGATTCCTAGGATTCAAAGTATCCAGGCTTTTTTTCTTTCTGTTCTTCGAAAGTAAGCATTTTCAAGGAGTACAGAATTCATTTTTAAAGTATCCAGTTGGGTAAGCTTAATTTTTGGTTCTTCAACAAAGTTTCCATTTAGTTTAGCTTCCTTCAAAACGTTTTAGTCACTTTGAGAGGTCCAGGTACTTTCGTGCTCCAAAAGAGAATGTTGATAATTTGTCAAGTAGATCCATATTATCTATCTAGTTATGTTCAGAAAACGGGCCCTGCTATTTAGGATTAGGTGGATGATCGTCTCCGTTGGACAGTTGAATATGTACCATCTAACTTTCTGGGAATAAACATTGATAAAAGGAAAGAAGTTGCACCGGAAACATCTTTAATGGCCGGATATGGTGAAAATATGCCGGCATCAGTAGCTCAACATAATTCTAAAGTTACAAATCTACATGTTTGTAGTTTTTCTTCTTAATTGAATTGGGACATAACTGACTTTGACAATGAACCATTCTAATAAATAGTTAATTTAAATATGACATTTAAAATCTAACCATTTAATAATTAGAGAGCATGCTTGTTCTGAAATTTATGTGACCATTTAGAACTTGAGATCTCGGGTCATCACGGACTTGAATCCTAACACCAACATTTATTTAACTGTGTGACCTTGGGCCTCAGTATTTTATTCTATAAAAGATAATGTTTAATAAGGTTTTGAGAGGAACAAATAAGATGGTGCCCTTTTATGTGTCTAGCATAGTGCTTGGGGTGCTCAGTAAATACTATTATGATGTGTGCCCTTTTTTCTTCCATATCTGTGTTTAGTTGAGATACTTCAGAATGATGTCTCTATCCCTTTTGTGATCTTAATATATAACTAATATTGCTCTCCAATAGAAATATAACATAAACCACATATGTAATTTTCAGTTTTCAACAAATCACATTAAAAAAGTACAGAGACAAGTGAAATTAGTTTTAATAATGTTATTTAACCCAGTCCATGCATATAATTCATCATGTAACCAATGCCGGGAAAAAAAGATTTTAAATTCTCTTTTTTCCCATAGAAAATCTTCAAAATCTAGTGTGTGTTTTATGCTTAGAGCCCATCTCAGTTCAGGGTACCCATATTTCAGTTGCTCAGTGGTTGCTTGTGGTTAGAGGCTACTGTATTGGACAAACAGGTCTAGATTGCACACAGCTTCCAAGTTTGCCTCTTAAAGCTCTTAGACCCTTTCCACCAGCGAGAACCTCACTGCCACCTTAAACCCAGCATTACAAAAAGAAAGCTACTCACCTTTCAGACTCTCTACTCTGTTCCCTTTTGCTGTTAGTAATTCCACCAGCTCTTCAGTCTACTGTGTCTGAAATCGGATTCGTATTCTCTTTTTTCTTGTATGTTGTTTGTCTAATATTCTCGTATTTTTATTTGAAAATATTTTTTCTCCAGTCTAATTCATTCTTCCTACTATATATTTGAAAATATTTAAAAATCTCTTTCCCCCACCCCTTGAGCCCCGTTTTCAATATTTCTGCCTTATCTACAGATTTTCCTTTTTTTTTTTTTTTTCTTATTATACTTTATGTTCTGGAGTACATGTGCAGATCTTGCAGGATTGTTGCTTAGGTACACACATGATCTCTCTGAGTCTCTGGGCTCCACATTCTTTCCATTCTTTCCTCAGCCTTTTATACTGTCAGAAATGGTTTCTATTTTATAGGTTATTCCTACCCTTAATACTTTTCCTTTGTCAAATATCCAGAGAAGTATAATTAGTTTAACTGATAGTCTGACATTAAAATGATTTATTCAAGAGAAGAAGCACAAATGAAGAAGAAAAATAAGATATGAGAAGGGAAGATGAAACCGTTCTTTGAGCTTTATATGCCTTTCAGGAAATATCAGAAGGAATAGATTCTAGTAGTCTATAGTACAGTAATTATAGTTAACAATTTATTGTATATTTCAAAATAGCTAGATGAGAATTGTAATATTCCTAACATAAGAAAAGATAAATGTTTGAAGTGATAGATATTCCGGTTACCCTAACTCAATCATTACATTGTGTACATGTACCAAAATGTCACATGTACCCTGGGAATATGTACAACTATGATGCATAAATTAAAAAATACAAAGAAATATCATGGAACTGATTAATAATAATCACCACCCCAAAGCAATGAAACTTGATTTTTTTTAATTGTACTTTAAGCTCTGGGGTACATGTGCACATTCCACAGGTTTGTTGCATAGGTACACACGTGCCATGGTGGTTTGCAGTCTCTGTCCCCCTGTTGGCTACATCAGGCATTTCTCCCACTGTTTTTCCTCCCCAGCCTCCCTGCCCCCTGCTGTCCCTCCCTTAGACCCCCTC